TATCACATCACAGGTAAATTGCCTAGGGGCAGAAAAGGTGACCTTTTGCCTCCCAGTGCCTCCCACCGCTACAGCATCCCATTTAGGGCAAAATTTTTTCACTTAGTGCCTACTCAGAACACCGCATCCACCCTTGTAAACTTATTCTGACTGAAAAATAGTCCCCTGGTACCTCTGACATTCAAACTATTGCCTTAGCTGTCACCCCAAGTCAAAAACTAGAAGCTTTATTTCTTGAAGCCATATTGCCTTTCATTTTTATTTCTGTAATCTTGCCATTATTTTCAGTAATTTAATTTCCATGAGTAATGTCAATTGCAAGAAAATACCTACAAATAATGATCAGCCAGCTATAGTCACTAGTCAAAAACCATAACTGTACACAGCAACCACTGTAATAGTATCTTCACAAAGAAAAGAAACCCCTTCCTCATCATAAATTACTTAGCCCCCTGACTGTTGAGTTCAATAGTAATTTCCAACTCATCATACTCACCAAAACCTACCAACAATCCCATTAATAAACCTACTAACAAAACACTTCAAATAACCACAATAGAACTCAGGCCTCAGGCTACTTCTCTGTAGCTATCATGGTAGCATAATCCAACACCAGTAATATCACCCTAAATAAATTAAAATATCGAGCCCAAGGAATTTTCACCAGCATTTAATATAATAGCACACCCAATCCCATCACTTAAAATTAAACCCAGTCCTCCATGAATAGGTGATGGTTTTGAAGAAAAACTTACAAAATTTGTAATATATAGAGTACTTAATAAAAGCACAAAGAATATAGTCAAAATTCCCACAAGGCATTTAACCGTGACAAATGACATGAAAAACCATTGGATAAAAACTATAGCAATGTTAATGACCAACGTTAAATAACTCACCCCCTAATTCAAATTATCAACTATTTATTCTCTGGCTTACTTGCCCTATCAAAGGTCTCCACATGGTGAAAATCTTGGGCTCCATGCTCTGGTTCTGCCTAGTCTTATAAATCATCAGTGGCCTCTCTCTGGCCGGACACTGCCCAGCAGGTGCAGCTGCCCCTTTCTCATCCGCTATAGATATTTGCCTGGATGTGAACTAGGGCTGAATCCCATGGTCCTCATGCAGACAGAGTGGCAGTATTTATATGTTTATTTCTGTGTGTTGGATGAGGCCTTTATTATGGCTCCTACACTTTTCTAGAGACCTGAATTATTGGAGTTGTACTGCTGTTTTCAGTTATAGCTGCAACATTTATAAGTTATGCCCCACCATGAGGACTAATAGAATTTCTTTTCTCTTTTCTTTTTTTTTCCCCCGGGGATCGAACTCATGACCTTGCATTAGCCAGGCAGGTGCTTATGCTGCTGAACCATATCCTCAGCCCCAATAAACAGTATTGTGAGAAGCTAAAGTTATTACTAACCTACTATCAGCTATCACCTGTGTTGGAACTAACTTGGCAGAATGAATCTGAGGCTGATTCTCAGCTGATAAAGCAAGTGTGACATAATATTTTGCATTCCACTTTACCCTACCGTTCATCATTGTAGCCCTTATAATAATTCACCTTTTCACCATACACCACCATCAAAATACCCAGCCAGTATAAATAAGCTCAGACTGACAACATTCCATTCTACTGCTTCCGTCCAATGAGAGGTATCCAAGGCTTTCTGTTCATAACTCTAGCACTACCCAATACTAGTCCTATTGCCCCCTGACCTTCTAGGTTACCCAGATAACTAACTGTACACCCCAAAGCCCCCAAAGACTCCCCCCATATAGAGTGACACTTTTATTTGCACACACAATCCCATGATCGCCCCACAGAGAACACAGAGGTGTGTTAACCCCTGTTACTTCAGCCCTTACTCTAGCTATCATCCCTGTAGCCCGCTCATCTAAACAGTGGAGTGTAACTATCCACCCACTAAGCCGTGCCTGTTGTACGGCTGGTATTACATGAGCCAGAGGTCAGCAAGGCCGACACCTGGTAGCAGGTATTACATGAGCCAGAGGTCAGCAAGGCCGACACCCCTTGGACATCCCTTGGACAAGTAGCTTCTAATATTTCATCATTCTAATTCTTACACCATTAACAAGTTTGTTAGATGTATGTCAAATGAGTCGTCACTGTGTGAGCCGCTTACTCTGGTCTGGTCAGAAATGGAGAAGCACTGTTCCAAGGGAGATCAAGGGACCAGCTCAGAACTCCATCAGCACCCAAAGCTGCAGTTCTGCTTAACCCGTTCCTGACCTTCCCTCATTCGGTGTTAAAGTGTTATAAGTATGGAGAAGATAACAATTCATCTTTTACCACATCTCATGCCCTGCTCCTTTCCCCATCTCTAATGCACCAACTATTCGATGTTTTATCATCCTTGAAACGTGTGACCAACATCGAGACGTTTACTCCATGCCCATGAGCATGTATGTAAAACTACTCCATAGGATATAGCCCATGTAATTTTCTAGTTTGCCTCTCAGTTACTGACCATATGTGAACTCCTAAGTATGTGTCTTTCATCATTGCTGTTACCTAGGACATAACAGCACTGATTATATAGAGCACACACAACTCAAACAATTCTCAGCCCTTAGTCTTCCATCTTTGTGAAAGATGGAAGGGATGTGGCCCTCTTCTTGCTCCCAGGCCAGGCTGGGTAGAGGGTTCTTTCCTGAAACTCTGCTTTGCATCTGGGTCTCACATCAGGGGCACTCAACCTAGGATGGCCCCCATGTTCCCCTTAAGTAAGAACTCCATGGACTCATGACCAATTGACACTCAGTTGCATGTAACTCTGGGGTCATACATTGGTTGTTTTTTAATTTGAGGGAATGCTGTGTCTCAGTATAGCTGTCCAACTTGTAGTTGGACTTACATTGATATTGCATCAAAGCCCTAAGCTACTAATTCATGCTTGTTAAATGTAACAGTGCATGACATAGGCACGTATATGCACACATGTACACATGTACATGCACACATGTGAACACACACTCCAAACATTATGCATAGGTACACATACCCCTATACATATGTACATGCACACACTTGTAACTCACTATAAATTATTTCCGGAAACCCTCTACCTCCATGCACCATAATGTGCGTGGATTTACTCTTGCCAAACCTGCAAAACAAGAGGCACTCATAGTAGGTCAATTGTAAAACCCAACCACTTAAAACTTCAAATAAAACCAAGTTTTTTTTTTTTTTTTACCTAGCCCCCTTTAATTTTGGAAATACAGAAATCTAAAAATCCCTAGACTTGCTGAATTGGCAAGTTCATTCCTTTGTTTTCTAGGATCCTAATTTTCCCCTTAGCACCTGCACAGTAACCACATACTGACTCATTTTAAAATTTCTCTACATAATTAAAAATTCCATTTAAATCAAATTCTATCCAATTTCTTATTAAGCCGATACTTAAGGATGCATGAATTGTCTTTAGACTTTCTGAACTAACAAAATCTATTCCCTTGAAATCCAGTTTCTTCTTGCTAAGACTTGTATAATAGTTATAAACTCAGCTCCATTTAAGAAAGGGTCGCTCTAACCTACTCCCCAGTAATTAAACACTTCACCTTATGCACAGACTGTTGGTTGGTGTAAGTTAATGGGTAAAGTAAGGCAGTGGAGCGCCTATGTGAGGTTTTCAGCCCCACAGACATGGACGGCCTTGCCCCTTTGTCAGTTACTAGCACAGTCACACCCGAGAGCGCCTACGTCCCCGCGGGGGAGGTCTCTGGAGCCCACTGACTGAAGGAGCGGGCTTCCGGCATGCTCCACAGCCCACAACACCCTGGCAAACTCTATTCCACCACCTTGCACAGTCCAGGTCTGTCTTCTGCTTCCCCACGAATCTCCGACTGCTTCATAAAAAGTCGGTGGAAATGCTCAGAGTTAGCACTCATCTGCCTGCCTCCATGCCTCTGCTGCCAGTTAGGCACCTGACTCCTATGTGGCAGTCAGGCACTGGCCAGGCGGGGGCCTCATCTGCGTGGCTTCTCTTCCGAGTTTGTTTGGTTCTTGACAGAGTGCCTTTCCTTTCAGCCTAGCTTCTTCCACACCAGCAGAAGAGAGTTAGACAGACAAAGACACAGAGTTGGGGTCAGGGAAAAAAGAGACTACCTTTTTTGTTTCTGGTGTTTGAACTCATGGAAAGCCAAAATTTGCTTTTATTTTGGCGCATGGGGGTGGTTGGGAGAGTTTTTTTGGTACCAAGAGATCGAACTCACAGCCTTGTGCTTGCCAGGCAGGCGCTTACACCATTGAGCTAAATCCCCAGCCCTGTTTGTTTGTTTTTTTGAGACAGGGTATTGTTATGTAGTGCAGGCTGGCCTTGAACTTACTGTGTAGCCCAGGCTGGCCTCAAGATTACAGCAATCCTCCTGCCTCAGCCTCCCAAGTGGTAGGATTATAGGTGTGTGCCACCACACTCAACCAAAATTTGCTTTTAAAGGAGTCATCTGATGATGTGATGCTAACTCACAGTAATATTCCTTTTGATCAGTGTACCTTTTATCTTTTTTTTTTCAGTAGTGGGGATACTGGGAATTGAGTTAGATAACCTTTTGTATTTGTATTTGTATTTGTAATTGTATTTGTATTTGTATTTGTATTCTTGAGCTTGGGTCTGGCTGGGCTCACATTTGCAATCCTTCTGGTGCAGCCTCCCCAGCAGCTAGCATAGCACCCTTGGCTTAATATACATGAACTACTTTTGCCTTGTCTCTTCGCCTCTGTTGTATACTAGAGCCTAGTTGTATCACGCCCACTGAAGAGGTGCATGGCTTATGGGGCAGGTGACACTGACAGGGGACATCCTTGAGCACCTTGCCACTTTCAGCAAGGAACTGTTTTCTTTTTGATTCTGAAGATGGAGTCCAGGCTGCCCAGCTCTGTTTCCAGCGCCCTTGAGGGCAACATTAATGCATAGAGGTGTATTGCCAATGTGTTTTTGTCACTGAAATGTGCATATTGTTTTTTCTAGGGTTTTCGGACAAAGACCTTAAAGACATACTAGAAAACGATGGCTACAGACCTGATAAAGGTAGGAGTGTGGCTTTGTCCTTTTGTGCCTTCTAGTTGCAAAGGTGAACTGAGCCACTGTGAAAGGAGAGGATGTCCCCAGGCACCCTACTGTGCAAGTCATGTGTCCCTTGGGTGCAAAGCCACACATGTCCCAGGGCTCCTTAGGCCAGCCTGCCACCTGGCTGGTGTTCCTTCCCCAGAGTCTGCTCAGAACTGGAGCCTGTTGCTCGTGCACACGGAGGAGTAGTGTGCATTGTGACAAACATTTGTTTAAGATGGCTTTTAAAATACTTCTGTAGTTTGAAATATGAGGTGTGATCAAAATATTGGTTGAACATTTAAGTGATTGCAGTCAAAGACACGTTGCCATTGATCCCTCTCAAAATCCCCCCACTCTCCAGCTGCCACTTTGGCCATACGTATCCCACTGTCCTTGCCACTTCCTGAAGCAGTGCTGGAAGTCCTCTTTTGTAAGATTCTTTGCAAGGTGTGATCAGAACTACAGGGAATGCGCTGCCCAGCGCCATCCAACAGAAAGGCAGCCCGCACAAACAGGATGCCGTGTCTTCATCTGCCTTGTTCACCGGATTTGGCACCATGTGACTTGGCTCTTTCACATTGTCAAAATGACTGTGAAAAGCAAACGGTTGGAGTCCATTCAGGATACGGAGGCAGCCAGAACAACACAACTAAAGACACTCAGGAAAGAGTGCACCAGAGCTGCTGCAGGTGCCAAGAATGATGGGCTGGCTGTGTTGAAAGCGAAGGGGGAGGATTGTGAGGATTGTGCTCATGGCAATGTGTCTTTTTTTTTTTTTTTTTTTTTTTGTCGTTTTCTTTTTTATCGGTACCAGGGATCGAACTGGCAATATGTCTTTTACTATAATACATTTTTTAAAGCGATGAAACATTCACCATATGTTTTGATCAGATTGTGTGATGTAGGACTCAAAAGATGCTGTGCAGATAGTTTGGGCCAGTTCCCATGTCCTTCAGCCCAGATGCCCTGAAGATTGCATCTTCTTGTAAGCGCAGCACACTGTCCACCGGGAAGCCACAGACCTCACTCCAAGTTTTTCAGGCTCGGCATGTACTTCTGTGTTTGTGTGTGCATGAAAATTGATGAAATGTCATCACATGTGCACAGGAATAACTGTCAGCAGTCACAGGGCAAAATGATTCTGTCCGCAGTGAGAGTGTCCCTGTATTTTCCCTGAATACTCACATCTTCCCCAAGACACTTTTTTTGTCTTTTTGCTGCAGGGTTTCACTTGTTCAGGCTGGCCTCAACTCACAGTGATCCTCCTATCTCAGCCTCCCAAGTTCTGGGATTATATGTGTGTGCTTCCTAGCTTCCAAGGCACATATTTTATGTTCTCTTTAAACTACCAATGATGGAAACCTTTTCATTGTAGTATACATCACATGTGACCCTAAGGTGGGGGGGGGGTTATCAGCCAGACATGTTCATATGGTGAAACAACTCAGTGTTGTGACTTGTGCCAGCACTTTCATGGTCATGATGGCATGTGGGCATGGAAGCTGTGGCTGTAACTCTTGGCTCTTGAAGTACCCCAAAGCCCTGCAGACCTGGCTGTGACCATAGCAGCTGCTGTTTTCTCGAGTGAACTGGGTATCATCTGCGTAGGACCAGTGATCTCTTCCCATCAGCAGGCGGAGTCGAATCTGTGCTTTGAAATACCTGCCATGGTACTGTCTCTGGAAAAAGACCTGCAGGTCTCGGCACCAGGCCCACGGTGTTAGGGGAATGTGGAGCATTTAAAGGGCAAAGCCAACAAGTTATCCAGTGACCCCTGGGTGACGAAAGGCATTTGCAGATGAGAGCTGAGGCCAGGTTGAAAGTCTGAGGGACATGTTGTCTTTTCCTCATGAAGGGACTTGTTTCAGCCAAGCAGAAGTACTAGGAGAGTCTAATTGGGCTCATGCTAGAACTTGTAAAGAATGATCTATTGTTAGCTTCAGTTACACCCTCTGTCATCTTGGTGTCAATAAGAGGAAAACCAGGTGTCCAGGCACAAAGGACAAGTGAGAGGCCAAGGCCTATTAATGATGTGCACAGGACAGGACCCTGAGATGTGCTGGTTTAGCACAGTGTGAGGGGAGGTATTGCCTATGAACACCTTCTGGGTGTCGGTGGGAAAAGACCAGATGAATGTATCTCCCACCTTGGACACCTGGCACCCATCACTGCCTGGGGGACTGTGGCCTGTGTGTCCAGGCCAGCATGTCCTTCTGTGCCGGCAGGAAGGGAGGTATTGGAAGCCAAGATCTGTGCATTGCTCTGTGGTGCCCACGTTTCTACAGCTTCGCAGCAGGCAGTGGTCCATACAGCAGCTGCTGTACACTTACCCACATGCTGTCACCGGCTCAGGCTGCAGTGTAGTACCACCTGCTCAGGCCTTAACTGACCTGTTACAGTTGTACAGCTTCAAGGGCACAAACAGGGTGCCAGCTGGTGTGTGCCCCATGAGTCTGTCTTCTCATGTGGTGAGCAGGGACAGACAGCGAGTTCATCATGTCACCTCTTGTGAGGGCCCCAGCCCTGACCCCACCTTGCAGGAACACCGTGGCAGCTAGGGTCCAGGTTCCCGTGACCTGTCACCCAGTCTGCAGGGTTCCCGGGGTGGCAGTGTCCTGATTGTTAACCTGTCCCATGTTGAAAAGTGTTACCAGCTGGAGCCTCACCTTTGTCCAGCTTCTCTTGTCTTGACTTTACTCTTGAGGCCAAATTCTATTTCCCAGTCACCTCTACCAGCTCGTCCCTGCTGGCCTGCTGCAGCCACACCACACATTTCCAGTGGTGTCCAACTGCATATTCCATCTAAGGTGTCCCCACCCACCTGCCAGTGCTTTCTTTTGGTCCCTTGCTCATAGACAGTGACATACTGTGCTATGAGTTTGACAAAGGCTTGAACTCTCATGTCTCCCCATAAGGCACAGGACAGAATGGTCCCCTTCTGCACAATTCCTGCCAGAAGTCCAGTGTGCCTGCTCTGTGCAGCCACTGATGTGCTTCCTGTCTCCATGCGCCCACCTTCCCCAGGCCGTACATTGGAATCCTAGAACATGCACTTTCCTGATGGCTTCTCAGTGATAAGCTTTATGCTGTTTGCTTTATTTTGTCATTGAACAGTGTCGTGTGCACAGAATTTCTATGTGTACCCAGCCATGGGCTGGCTGAAGGCTGTCTTGATAAGTGCGAATATACATTGCCACACAGATTTTTGTGCAGTTTTTGTCCCAGCTCATGTAGGTGTGGGATTGCTGGATCGTCTGATGGGTCTGTGCTACCTTTCCAAGCATCTGTCCAGCTGCCTTCTGCAGTGACTGCCCTGCCCCACACCCCTGTAGTCAATGAATGGCACTTCCTGTTGTTCACACCTTTAGCAGCAACTGGCACTATTAGCTTTTTAAAATTGTAGACTAAGAGATGTGCAGTAGTTTTCACTTGCATTTCCTTAATGAGAAATAATGTTGAGTATGTGAATACATGTGTGCATGTGTGTGTGCGTGTGTGCACATTCAAATGTGTATGCACACATGTAAGCATGTATGCACTGTGCACACATCAGGGACCTGGCCAAGATCCCCAGTCTTCCAAATGAGTGTGTAGTAAAGGCTTAAATAAATGAGACAAGTAGTGCGATTTTAGGGCTCCAGGAGGACCAAAACCATCTAGCACAGTTTGAGACTATGGGCTGAGACAAAAAGCTTCTCTGGGCAACCTGTGTTTATTACACAGGTCTTCAAAAAGAGGGGATACTGAGGAAAGTGTGGGAACTGAGCAGGACCTTGGGAGTTAGTTCAAAGATTTCTCCAAATAGTAACTTATACCAATTAGGTATAAATTAGGAGAAGTGTCTTCTCTCCATGATGGCATTTACGTTGGGACTGAGACCGCAGGAGTGAGATTCCTGCAGCTGCAGTCTCTAGTTAATTGGGGTTGGGTCCAGGTGTCCTCAGCTGTGGCCTTATCTTGCCCTTTGAGGTATCTCTGGCCGCACAGGCCACTACAGGCCTCAGCCAGGACCAGTGACTCACAGAGATTCACTTACTATGAATCTGCTTCCCATCTCCAGACAAGGGGCCTAGGCCTGGGACAGACTCACAGGGAAACATAGAAAGCCAACTGGTTAAGTTTAAATCCCACTCAGAGCCACTTCATAGTGGGCTCCATCAATTCCTCCTTTTTGTTTTTGTAAGAAGAGTTGAATCATGATAAGCTGTGGTTTGTGGTGTCTAGCATTTGGCCCGTTATGGCTCCTCTTTGACAGACTATGAGTAGAATAAGGAGAAAGGATTACTCCAAGCATTCCAACATAAAGCCAAAAGTGTACCTTCAGATGATTGAATAGATTTAATTGGTCTAAGACATCAGAAAATTTGTCCCAATCCTGGATTTGTTCATCAAATTTTTGAGTTTGTTGGAACATTGACAACACCTCCTTCTGGAGAACGTCGATATCATAATATTTTGATGGAAGCTACTTGTACATGTTTCTTTATATCCTCCCAAGGGTGTAAATATTTATTATAAGGCAAGGGAGTTATGCAGAAATCAGTGGCCTGGTAATGGCACTTCAACCGTTGTAATAGTTGTAGGTTCTCTATTGGTCTCCCATGCATAACACAGCAGTTTCCAGCATACTAAGCTGTGTCTGTAATTTGGCATCTATGTTATGTTTTATTTTCCATTTTCATCAGCAGTCTTTGTCCAGTTATCTATGAAATGAGCCATTTGTACAGAATGTGTGATGATCACTGAAGAAAGCCACACTGGAAATTAGGAGACCAGAGACACAATTCCTGTAATAATTTAAGCAAGAATTCTTTTTGTCCTGTGGGTTAGATGTTTTACTAGTGTATGTAGTAAATGTGACACCAAAGAGTAGGATGATATTTCAGTGAGATTAACAGGGATCCAAACTCCTGACATGTGACCCATTATTAATAATGTTTGTCCATAAACAGCACCTGGTCTTACACAGTGGTTCAAGG